CGACATACACAGTCGTGTAACTGACAGTTTGAGGTAGCCTATCGTGTAAATTTCGCTTTGTTGCTGATAGGTTAAGCTTTCGAAACTCTGCCCCAAAGTCATGTGACAAATTTTTCGCCCTGTTTCGTTGGTTAAACGCAGTGATCACAAGCACCACCATGGTCACTGGGATGTGTAGTTTTTAATTCCGTTTGAATTATAACTATACGTACTGTCTTCATATTTGGCCAGGGCTTTAAAGAGAAGGCGCGCCAAAAAAATTAGGTGCCGTCGTCTCCGCTTTAAAGGTACCCCTGTGCTGGAAGAATTTGACCTCGGAACGTTTGCCCAGCGTACCATTACATTACCATTCCCACTGTGCATAACAAGGAAGATTAATAAACATAAGGTTGTTTAATGACAATCTATTCTGTATCTCATGGCTAAATAGTCAAGTCTACCCAAAAGAGAAAACATCGACTTTATTTAAACCCAAGCGAAAGTATTAATGGTTTTTAACTACCATACTTTTAGGGTACATGACTTTGCTAGACCCTTCTACTTTGAAAATATCTGTGAAACCGGCTTAATTTGTCACAGCCAGCACTCCCGCAGAGAGTGATGAAAACCGCGCTGCGCCACTCCTATTTGGCATTTTAGTTATGGAGGGAAGAAAGACGCACCCCCCACCTCTGGGTGCCTGTTTGAGCCGCAGTAGGTAGAGACACGAACGAAAAAAAAGTTCATTCCAGCTACAATACATATATATTTTTGTGGTAAGAGGGAGCAAAACATCAGTATTTACTGCTAGTAATTAGTGTACAATTTATAAATCCTGAGCCTAAATATAAAGTTAAAATCTCGACAAACGAAGCAATGTAGGAAATGCGCACACAGAAATACACAGAAAATAAATCCATTCTGACATCTCAAATCAGTTTCGATCAAGGTCTCCAAAACGAACAAGAAAAAGAGCATTTTCAGAGAGCAATTACACTGTGTTTACGTAGAATAAGTGATTAGATTTATGACAATCTAATTTCTTATTCCTGAACATTATTATGCAGAAGACAAAGGTAGCGATTAACGTTGCATTGTGCATTGTGCTGCTGTAATACGGTTTAAAATAATTAAAAGTCTAAACAGTATCAGCTTTATTTATTGGTTGTAATTTAAAAAAAGTCAAAAACAGCACTCAAAATGCAATTTAGAGCTTTCTGGCCAGAGGATACACCCAAACTAATAATGTAACATGCTACTGTTTGTGCATGAACATAGTTATACTGTTATTTCTTTACATACGCGATTGCATGTTTTTTTTTAAATCCCTGGCGGGGCCGGGCGACCGTAAGAATCAAGTTATAGGTTTCATTGCGCTTTGGCAGAAACCAAATTTCCCAAATTTAATATGTGCTTTTCTATATTTATTGTCAATTAATTGTCCATAATATTGCTATTCTATTTTTTCAAAGAAATGTTTGTTAAAATAAAAGTCACGGCACCGGCTGGTTTTGTAGTCAGGTACCTAGACTACAGGACCACACGCAAGGTCAAATGAGGAGTGGTGAAACAGCCCTACACAAACAGTATCAACAGACATTGTACAGCATATACTATTCTTGTGTTGCAGTAAATGAATATAATTATATCATTATTAATTTCTTTAGAAATGCAATTCCATATTATATTCCCTATTAATCAAATTCTAAAAGTATGCTTGTTGACTCCGGTATATACCCACCAGTACATCTTTGGCTTGTGGGAGGAAACCAGAGCAAAAGGAGGAAACCAGAGAAAAAAAAAGAACATACAAACTCCACTCACATAGCATCCTAGGGCCCCAGCACTACATGGCAGTAATGCTAACCACTGCACCACTGTTCCACCCTGTACCTTAACCCCATGAATAACATTGGATTTATTACACTCCATATTTGTCAAATGTATCAACTACCTGTATGACTTTACAGAAGATGACATTCAATTTTAAATTAATGTATTTTGGAGCTCATGTTTTGAAGTGATGAATCTTGTAAACCTATAGTTTAGATAGTGTCCAGCTTTCACTTTTAGAGAACAATTGATGTCAAGTGCATTATTGCTGCATTTAGAGATCACAGACACAGTGTTGACACAGTGATAAATTCTTCCGAAATATTGATTGTTATTCTTGTGGGACCCTTGTGTAATAATTGTCTGAAATGGTGACTGGGTCTATACCAGATGGAGGCTCCAATATGTCAATGCCAAGCATTTAATTGTTTGTGCAGCACTTTTATATACCCTTTATCTTAGCAAACAAGAGACAAAGGGATCTGGATTAAAGTCCAATTGCATTACCAGCTAGAAGACATGGTTTCAGATATTTGTAACCAAATTCTGTGATCAAATTAATTTTTTATTTTCTTCCTCAAACAGGACATTCCTGCAAACTATTGAGAAAGAACATGGGTTTGATTGTGATCAATGAAGACACACTGGATGTAAGTACTACCTCTGCCTTAAGTTTTTTTTTTCTTTATTGTTTTTTTTTTTTGCTTTTCAGTTTTATTTAAGGCCAGGTTTATATCAACTGAATAAAGGGAAAGTCAAAGCATTATTATTTCTTGGCAAGACAATTTCAAATCAGGTTTATTAATCACTAAATAAATTCCTCAGCATTCTCTAATGCCAAAATTCAAATCTTCTCAGATTGTTTTCAGATGTTTAAGATGCGGCATGTGCAGTTTTCTTCTGATTTTGATCTTTTTATAACAAATGTATTATTCCTAAAAATAAAAGCTAACATTGATGTATTTATAATAATGCAAAAGGGGAAATTGCATATTTCTGAAACACATCTATATAAAACATTTGTGGTAGCTCTACATGTCCTTATGCAGTAATGTAGTTTTAATAAATGTTTATTTCCAGTTCAAATCATCTGTCTTAAAATACTGAAGACTGCTTTCCTACAGCTAAATATTTTCCTTGTTTCCACAATATATTAGGTAATCAGGTTTGGGAGCATTAATTGAAATTAATAGTACATTTAAACATTCTCATTGAGTTGACTAAAGTGATTAGTATTTTGATTTATTAGAACACCTGAATGGGGAGCTTAGAGAAACATAAGCAGTTCATATAAGCCCTTTATCTCTGTGTTGTTGGTTTTGACTAACGACTTGTGTTGCTTGGGGTGCAGAAAGAAACACACTTGGCCTAGTGACCAGGGTAGTGGACTATTGGACTGGTAGTGGAATGAGATATTGATCAACTGTCTGTGAATGATGTGGATCAGATGGTTTAGTAGGCCTGAGCCTCCAGTCAATTATGTACGTATCCTAGGAGAATAACACATATGATTAAGCTTAGACATTCTTGTAAGCACTTTCGAACGCAAAACGCAAACCACATGTCCTAGATATTAATGAAACACCAAGAAAGTTATAAAACAAGTCTTTGTTTTCAAGTGGTAATCACCACCACAACCCTTAAATGACTGTGTCCTCTAAAAAAACTTCAGGTTAATGTAATAATTAGCACAATGCTGTTGTAACAGAAAGAATAAGGTTCTGGATCCCAAGATGAAGTAAAACTGATGAGTTTATTGCATGCAAAGAACAATAAAGCCGAAGTCTTGTTTCCCGCAAGAAACAACAAAACCGTATTGTTCGATGTGCCGGTACAAACTTTTAGGTTATATAGTCCTTGCTTGCTGCTTCAGACGTCATTCGGTGTTATGGTAAGGGGAGGGGGTCATGGTATTTGGCCAGTTAAAAGACCCTGGCCAAATGGTCAGTTTAAGATTACGCCCCCAGGGGGTTCCTAGCTC